TACATCTGTCCATTTACCAAGGGAATTGCCTTTCTGCCCTGCAGTTCCCAGTCCTTAAGAAGAGCTCCTGGTAAACATGCTCCATCTACTGTGTCTTTATTCTACATCTTCCTTGAAACCAATTGACAAAATCTCAAGGACAAAGGCTAAACAGGCTGCTGATCCACCAGCAGCTGCTCCTCTCAAACACAGCATCATGGACCCATCATTCCCGTTAGATCTGCCTCTCTCTTTTGGAAGAGGGGCACCCCTCCCCTCACACCTTATAGACACAATCCCTCATGGCTACCCTAATACAAACACTTCTGAGCCCTGTTAATAATGTCAGAGTACAACTCCCTCATGTGAGTCATAATGACTAATTTCCTACCATCCTTCGACATTGTACAAAGTCAATTGTCCGGCTAGGGTCCTGCCTACTTATGACAGGCTCTCAACCCTTCCAGTGCCTTGCTACATTGTTCAAGGTCTTCCTCTCCATTCGGACCATCCCTCTTGCCCCTGATTACACCATTCTTCCTCTTCCCACTGGCCACTGACTTTCCATTTAGTAAAAAGACAAAGCACAGATAAGAGGTGTAATAATCCTGTAACAACCCAGATGTAATTCCAGACTGGTACAAATTTTCTAAGCCTAACTAGTAACTTTGGCCCTCATATTACGGGCCCAAATGAGACTGTGTTTTCACGAGGTGCTCACCCATCCCCATTCTGTAGATACCACGTCAGGAATCCAAGATTTTGAAAATCCAGCCCACTGCAGCACACAAAACAAAAACAAGAACAGTCAAATAACCCCACTGCCTAAGCAGAGACAAGTCATAAAGCAATGTAAGGAAGAGAGAGTGTAAAAACTAATTGGTATGTATTCTTTCCAAGATCCAATCATATGCACCTACTACAAGGGGTTTTGCTGGCTGTTAAACATGATTACATTTAAAACCACAGTGTTTCAAGACCCACATGAAAAGCAGATTTAATGTTGGCACACTACAGGAATTTTTAAAATAAGACAACTTTAAAATTGCAGATTGCAAGAAAGATTAAATTGGATTTAAATACAGGAAAACAAGTATTTGCATGTAGCTTGTGCTCGAACCACATCAGCAGCTATCACTGCATACACAGAACTTACAATTTATCCTTCCTGTATCAGTGCTTGAAAGTACTGAAACACACTGACAAAATTATTGTGTCCATATTTAAAGGTGTATTTAAGAATAGATTATGCAAATGTTTCTGCTAATACAGAAAAAAAGGGTACGCTCTGCAGCCAGCATAACAGTAGAACTTCTGAAGATCACTCATTAAAGGAAAATAAAATCAGAGCATACTGGAAGAAGATAATATTCGAAATTGCACAGAGGACTGATTTTAACTGTCTCCTCTCAACAGCTTAGACCATATACAAAAAAAAATACAAATAGATAAAAGACAATTGAGGAAATCCTTACTATTCTAAGCAAGTCTTAGTTTTTCCTCCAAGGGTGTGCTGTTCCTCCAGACTATAAAATAGACCCAACTGACACACCACCCCTTTGCTCTAGATACATTAAAAACAAATGTGTGATGCAAACCTTTCACTGTAGGGTCTCAGCTCGTAGTAGTTAACGAAGATGATGTATTTTTATGGAAGGCTCAAAGATCACTTCTAGGTAGAGAAACTAGAAATCACTTTCTTTAACAACCAACATGTTACACTTAGGACCTTCTGTTCAACATGATGGCAATATGTTATACTGGATTATACAAGTCAAAGCTCCATTATGTTTCCTCATTGAGAAAGGAAGAGTTCAGCAGGTTACAACACTGCATGCCATTATCAGAAAACAAAGTTTTTTACCATCTTTTTAATAACAGGAATTTCACTAATTAATCAACATATTTTTCTAATGCCACAGATCTCTACTAACCTGTTTCTCTCCAAGCTCCATCTCTCCTTTTTACAAGGGTGCTATATCTTCCTCATGGTAATGTGGATGAGAAATACTTTATAGAGAAACACTTTCTCAATACAACATAGGCCTGCACCAATCAGACAGGAAGTTCTGTTTTGATGCCCTGTTTACCCTTTTTGCTGCACCCATGTGGGGCTAATGCCGTAACACATGCCTTTTCTCCCCAGCAGGACTATCATTTTGACATCACACTCATCGTTTGCCACAAAAAAACCTATGGAAGAGTACTCTCTACCCCTCTGTATTTCCTGAAACTTAACTCTTGATGGCGATAGGACAAGGCAGCAGACGCAATTCAGGCTTGTTTCTGCATTCCAGATCCCCCACTTGACACTTCCCTTGGGAGTCATATCATAGACAGAACTGCACAGACCCAAAGAGACCCACTTTTTCTTCATCCCTTCTCTCTCATGGACAGACAGAATGAAACATCAAAACTGTTTAGGAAGATGTTTGACAGGTAATGAGGGGACAAACTTAATTTCCCTTCCTTTTTTCTTTTTTTTTTTTAACCGTTTTTTTTACCCTTTTTTAAACACACAGCATTGGAGCCATGCTGCTCTAGTAAGACAACAGAGCATGAGAAGACAGGTAACTGCAGTTCAGTTTGGAAATAAAACTGCTGCTATAATCCACCTAAGGTCAGTCAATGATCTTAAAGAACTGATGATACCTCCACAAGAGCAACTGTGCTTGCAAATGCTCCACCACAGCATCCTGGCTGCTTCTTTAGCCATTTAATTCACCTTAGCACGTGTATGACCACAACAGCTTCTCCCCGACCAGCATGACAACACATGCTGCCAACACACATTGCCAACACACCTCCCAGTTGAACATACTGAGCGCACAAGGTGTGGTAGTGTGACAGGAAAACAGGATTCCTTTAAAAAGCAGGACAATAAAAACACCACTCTGCAACCTATTTCAGCTAGTCCTGCAACACTGCAATGTAAGTACTTGCTTTCATTGTGCTACCTGTAGAAGACAGGACCTGCACACATTTTCAGCTTGAGCTCACAGTCAGGTCCAGCCTCTTGCCTGACTCCTGCCCCACAGTCACTTCTGGACGAGTTAGGCTGTATCTCATGGCCTGATCACCCGGAGCAAAGAAAAGGAGAAGAGGAAGAGGCTGCTTGCAGCATGCTGTGGACACTTATTACATAGTAATGCTGAAAACAAAGTCCATTAGCTACCGACCACACATGTAAATACCGCCTGCAGCAAAGCCACTCTTGCTCGTGGAGTTCATCCCACTAAGGGTGCAAACTTTAGCTAACTGCTGCGGCTGACACAATTCCAGCGCTCAGTACAAGGACCCAGTCTTGTATGTCAACAGGTGTCGTGTTCTTATTCAAAATATTTATTTCGCCAGATTTCTGCTATTACTTCCAGGCCAAGATGGTCCCATAAAGCAAGGCCAAGATGGGATCAGATTCAGCGAGCTGCCTGAGAGCTCTTTTAAGAGCACAAACATTACTTCAGCATATAAGCTGAAGAAAGAATGGCACAGTTGGAGCCTCTTGACTAATTCTCCTGTTTATATCCAAATAAGAGAGCACTGTGAAACTGCACTCTCCCTTGGCAAGCTATGAATTTCACTTGGACGCAGCCAACCCCTATAGATGGGACCTTGTGGCTACCCGTCAAAAGATTTTGGCCAGAAAGGGTACCAAGGACATGCGGTTGAAAGCAGACCGGAAGCACAACAAGGGTTTGTGCATGCACTGACAACTTGGGAAGATGAAGCACTTGCCTGGGCAGAATGAAAATAAGCCTGCTCAGGCATGAGGAAGGGCCCATGCAAACTTCCTCTGGGATGGAGGCATTCAGGAGCCACAGAAGCCGGCAACACCATGTGATGAACGACAGCCGCAATGGAGCAAGTATCACCTAGGGCACCCAAATGGGTTTTGAAATTGGGGGCTGTCCCCCATTGCCCAGCTCCAAGTATGACCACCTCAGGCAGGCCCCTGGCCCACCACCCGCATGCCCACTGTGGAGGCAGCTGGTGGTGACAGCACAGGCCCATGTCATGGCTTCTCACGCCCATGGCAGCAGCCCCTCACACCCACACCAGGCCCCGGCCCTATACCGTGTCCCCTGGGCTCACCACCCCTCTCCCCTCACTGTCCCACTTGCCTTGAGCTGGGACTTGGAGACCTTCCCGCTGCGATCGAGGTCGAGGGCGGTGAAGGCGTGCCAGATGGACTTCAGCAGCTCCTCCTTGAGGCCCACCATGGCCGGCCCGCGGCAACTACCGCTACCGCCGCCTCGCTCCCTCCGCCGCTCCCGCTCTGCCTTCGCCTCGGACAGCCCCGCCGCCGCCGCGCCCGCCCCGGGGCCGGGTGCCCAGCCCCGCCCGACCCAGCAGGCACCGCCCCGGGACTGCGCGCGTCCCGCCTCGGAGGCCGGGGCCGAGGGCCGCCTGCGGCGCCCAGGAGAGCGGGATCTCGGCGAGGGAGGCCGGAGAGGCTCCCGCTGAAGTACCTGCCACAGCAGGGCCGGCTCCGCGCCTCCCGAGAGGCAGTGGGTGACTGCGGCCCGCGGCTGTTCGCACGGGAGACACCGCCCCATGTGCACAGTACCGTACGCTCACACCGCGACAAGTGACTGCCCTCAGAAACTGTTTCAGAGAGCAGCTGGCAAGGAAGACTTGCGTACAGCTGGAGCGAATGGAGGTCAATCGAAAATAGTGGGGGGAGGGCCAAAAAACCCCAGAGTTCACCACTACTTATAAACCAAGAGTGGCACAAAGTGTCATCAAGCAGGATAAGCTTTGCTGTTGAGCTTTGGAAGGTGTTTTTGTGGTGGGGGGTTAAATCTCACCTGTTTCAGGTTCAGACTAAGCAACACTGAGAGCAGTGACTGGGTGAGGACTTCAGATGTCCCCACAGTCCCTGTGCTTTCTAGCAGAACCCTCAGTGGTGTTTCTCTGCTAACAATAGGGTTAGAGTTGCTTCTAGGCCAGAAGAGGCAGGAAGATAACGGTGAAGTTTATAGTGCTTTGAATACTGCATCCAAGATCATTCACAGTACACAGGTCAAGGTAAGGTTTCATTCTCCTGGATTTTAAGCCAAACCATTAAGATCCTGCATTCAAGATACATAACAAACAAAAAAACAAAGATACTCACTTTTGTCCAGTTTTAGCCTTCATTTAACCGCATCATCAGAACAAAAACAGAACACTGCAAGTGGCATACTTCTGGCAGGTACACAAGATGATTGTTTTGCACAAGGTGGTGCTGGTTCGTTACAATCCCAGTAAGAAATACACTCAGACTCTCAAGTATCACATAAAATACCATTTATTTGAGCTAAGACTAAAATAGAGAAGACAGTAGAGATAATCTTACATTTCTTCCGGTGCTGGGAAGCCTCAGCAGCATCACCGACATCTCTGATCAAGGTGCAGCATGTCACACAGGCCCTGCCCAAGGTAAAGTTCCACCATTTTGGTCATTTAAACTAATACAGGGTTTTCTTACAAGAAAACAACTCTATACGTTGTTTCTAGTACCAAACAGAAAGGATGTTCACATGTCAACCTCTTGCTGCATTTTCAGATAATGGGCAGACCACACAGCGGGTGTAATCACAGGTACAGAGCAGGAGCTGCCTGCAGGCTCCTCTGGTACAATCAACCACATCAATTTACCCCATAGCCATGAGGCATACACAGTCCCAGGTGGACCAGGAGGCGAGGCTGGACTGCCAGCGCAGTATAGCACAAGGTTGTGTAGGCACAGCCTGATTTAGATGGATCACTAATCCTCAGTGTACAATGGTCATCTGGACAGGACCGCTACAGATAAGCACATAGCCAAGTCCACTGTAGGAAGTACTTTCACTTCTCATATGTGGTAATACATAAAATGAGTTTTCTGTATGTGGGAAATTGGAGACTAGAATCATCCACAAATTTCCAGTAATTTTTGTCCTTTAGTGTCTTTAGCTTACAGCAAGCAACAAAGATGTTCTGGCAATGCAGAGACATCATAGTCTCAGTAGCACAGTGCCTTATTCATTGGGCATATCCTTGCAGCCTTTCCCCCTCATTTTTCTTAACCTTTTTCCTCCAGAGTTTATTCAGGACTTTGGAATCCACAATTATTTATACTCTTTCCTCAGGATGGGTGCTGAGAGCTATATAATTAACAAAAAGTTAATTTGATTAAATTTCTTACTGAACCCGATTTGCTAACATTATAGCTGTTAGTACTACCAGAAAAATCTGTTATTGTGAAATAGGTATCTTACCACTTGGAGCTAAGGCATTTCTCCAATTTGACCACAGCTATTCCACTTAAGGAGGAAAGAGATGACTTTTGTATATGCAGATAACCTAGCAAACCTGTTTTATTTGGTAGCCAAGCAACCACAAGGTCACCAGTAAATAAAGAACTTCCCTATTAAATTACATTAAAATACAGTTAGGTTCTGGGGAATGTTGCTGAGGAAAAAGCAATTCATAGAGTTCACACATGAATCTCCTCATGACAGGGACAATTTCTGTTTTGAACAGACTTCAGTGATTTTTTTGGCAGCTCATTTTTATAAAAATGATAGAGTGGAAAAATGAAACTAAACCAAAATGTCCCACAAAATAATTGTAAAAACAACCCTATGTGCTTCTCTTCATTTTACCTTCATTCTTTTTGCTCACATCTGTTATTCCAGATTTAAATGACATGCTGAAATCCTTTACCAGAACAGGACTTCTTTTCCACTAAGAATATAAAGAGTTCCATTCAGGTTAATAAGTTAACAGTCAATGCTTGAAATGTTTCATTAACATGAGTAGTTTATATAAGCCTCAGCCACTCCAGCTTTTAGTAGGGTAGTCAAAAGGATACTTACAAGTTACGCATAAAACTAGTACAATGTATAGGATTGAGCTAACAGAGCAAAACCAGTTAAACTCAAGTTCGTAGGCAGAAAAACTTGCTGTTGAACAAAACCTTTGTTTTTCTTACTTACCCAAAATAGCTTTAACAAAGTTACAGGACTAACTGCATCCACACCCAAAGCGTGAGTTATTTTAAGCAGCTCTTCTGTTTTAATATGCTAGTCTAGATCTTTGCTTATGAAAGACTTTACATTCTAAAGCTTTGAAGATAAGATTGATATATAATCCATAGAACATTAACATTAACCATTAAGTCTTTGATATCACTAAATAAACTCCAAATGGTTTGCATGGTACAAAAGTAAGTTCTGATGCAACTTAACATACTTCTGCTTTTCTTGAAAGTTGTCCAAGATCTCAGCAACTTTATTTAAATCTGTGCTTATTCTAATCTTGTTTGCTTACCACAGTCAAAACCACGACTGAAGGGTGGCAAGGACATCAGGGAGGGAAGACTGGCTCACAGCCCCAGAGAGTGACTCACAGTTTCAGGAAGAAGCTTTAGACCCTGCTGAGGATCAGCCTTAAGACGTCAGTCACTTCTCCTCCTCCCTGCAGAAGCTTAATTACTCCTTGTTAGCCAAATAATAAGTATTTCTCAGGGAGGTTTGAACCAGAGGAAAGATTACGCATTTGAACTGTTATTAATTTTGTGTTATGCCACTGAGTCAGTTAAACTGCCATCAAGGAAAGAATTCAGACACATCAGCAACTCACTGTTTTCTGCTTACTGTTAGCCCAGAGAAAAACTTCCTGAACTGTAGAATGACCAGTCATTTTCATTCTCCAAAGGAAAATTTAATTGAAGCAAACAGAAATTGAAGATCATTAAGCCAAGTTATCAGCATTATAGTCTGTGAACAGAGCAGTCCAATCGTACATATCAAAGAAGCACTGAAGGACAGTAAGCGCATTTGACATTATACCGTAGCCCAGTCCTCAAACCATTTGAGGACTTTGGTTTTTATTATTTTTAAATGCTTTAACAAGTTTTATTTCCGTCCTTACACACATGCCTCAGTCTCACTAGAACTACGTAGAAATTGAGCATGAAAATTATTTTAGGTGAAACAGGAAGTAGCCTTAGATGCAGAATCAGAATGGCAGCTCAGTCCCTCATACAAAAAAAAAAAAGTTGATTTTCTATCCACTTCTAAGACTTCTAGAGAATCTTCAAAGCAATTTCAGCAAAGCACTCCTGCTTTACTAGACTTTTTTGCTATTTATACACTCATGCACAACACATACATTTCTATTCAAACTTGATGAAATAAAACAATGAAGAGGTAGACTACAGAGCATTAACTTACCTTTCTGGTCCTCCCTGATAACACACATCTTACTCTTCACTTGCAGCTGATAAAGTATTTCTCACCAAGTTACAGAACTAATCATAGAACAGAATGCCACAGATATCTTACTTGCAGAAAGAAAGAGGAAATTAAATCCCAGGTGTCTACTGCAGTAACTATCTGGGGATGGAAACTGGAGAAAGAAATGGTCAATGGAAAAAGCTGTTAAGCAGGGTTTGTGTAGAAAACTGACAAACAGTATTGACTTAGTTACCAAAAGGAAATTAAAATCCCATTTGCTATGGTGCAGAACAAATATATGGGGAGATTCTACCCTAAACATCTTAACACTCAAGTAGCCAAGAATGAAAAGAGGCAAGAGGAAGCAGCAGCAGATATAGGAAGATCACCCAAGGTTGCTCATGCTAAAGGTTGGGAGTAGGATGCATTTCTTCTGTCCCCCGCATCCCTATCCTGCAGAAAACCTTGCCTAAAATACTTTAATTAGGTGTGTATTCTGTTGTCTATACATCAATAGATGGACAAGATCATTAGGATGCATACTAAACACACAGGATCTTTTCTTGAGCATAAACAGTCAGTCAGTAACAGCAGCAGTTCTTATACCTGTTAGCCCACTTACCTGGCAGTAACCCTAGGGATACATAGACCACTGAATAGAATTAGGCCAGTTATTCTGCTTTCATCTTGAGTCAAACAGAAATCAGTTTAAGCCAGCATGATTATTCAGATGTCATGCTAAGTGTGGATGGTGAATATTAGAAAGGAGTCAAATGACTGGCAAAAGGAAGATCTTCGAAACCAAACCTTCAGATTTTTCAAGGCTTTCCAGAATCTCAGATGATTTTTAAGCGTGCACAATCTCAGATCTCTGAGCATGTGTTAAACAGTAATAAATTGCTTCCTGTTTAAATAGGCACGGCAATATTCTCTCCTCAGGGCACCTCCCTTTCCTCTACCCCAGTCCCATTATACTTTGGGAAGATAGTATCTTCTTCCAATTCCAACTGTTTAAATAGAAGCAGGACTTTTAATTTCCTGTGTGCTATCCTGCCCACCACTGCTTCTTCCTGCTTTCTCTGCAGAACCTATGCGTCAGCTCAGCAGCCTGCAACCAGGGGAGCCTGCAGCTCTCTCTCTCAGGTGTTCTCCATGGTTCACTGAAAGAAGGTAAAGTTCAGTCAGGGAACAGCCCTGCTTTTGACTCTTGCTGACCATCTCTTTAGTCCAGAGTCCTCAAGCACAGCTGTATCAGTGATATTAATAGCTAGCACACATACACAGATTCATTAATTGTTCACACGTTATATACCAACACGTATATAGTAAAACCATGAGGATGTCTTTTCCAAGCCTACCAAACTGAGGGGGATGGGTGTGGATGAAAAAACAAAGTTAACACTTACCTGAGCTACCCCTGGAAAGAATGCTCAGTCACTACTGCAGAACAAGATCATGGTTTCTAACAATCAGGGTCTAGCATTATACTAGCACACAAATACTCTAAAGACAAAAATGTAGTGTACAGTTAATCATTTTGTCCACCAGGTGTTGCTGGAGACTACAAAAGACATAAAAGACAAGGTCAAGCTGGTCAGCTTTTGGGAAGGGGTCAAACCTCCCCCTGATCCCTCCCTCCACCAAGTTCAACAAGAAGGGTTGGGTGACTAAGTATACTTTCATTAATGAAACGTTTCAAAGTTATAGTCTACAGAAATGCAATCCATGAAATTGCTGCCTCATCCCTGGCAGTGTTCAAGGCCAGATTGGATGGGGCTTTGAGCAACCTGGTCTAGTGGAAGGTGTCCCTGCCCATGGCAGGTGGTTGGAACTGGATGAGCTTTAAGATCATTTCCAACCCAAGTCATTCTGTGATTCTATGAAATTGAATTCCTATTTTCAAATAAACAAGCAGTGCCTACCTCCATTTCTAGGTGGAAGTAAAGCTTATCTATAACTTCATTAAAAAGCCAAGTAGTCACTATGTTTTTCAGGTTCTACATCTTATTAATTCAGATCTATCCCAACTCAAAATACGTTATTAGGCCTGTAGTCATCAACAGCTTGTATCCATGGGTAGGTGGGGGAGCAGGAAATCAGTGTACGGATAGGACACTTGGAAATGGAAAAAAAGCAAGCAACCAATCAAACCAACCCAAAACCAACCCACCACAAGATCAAACAAACAAAATTAAAAAAAAAAACAAAACAAACAACACCCAAACCCACAGCCAAAAACAAAACCCCAAAACAGCCCCCCGTCCACAAAACCACAAACACACACACAGAAGCCCCCAAACCAAACAGACAAAGATTACCTTAGTAATTCTAGCTGGTTAAACCTGCGTGAATTTGTGGCAAAAATTGCTGGGAGTTTGATATGTAACCTATGAAAGTAGAACAGCAATTTCTAGTTTGCTACAGTTTCCAACAGGAAGGTGCTAACTTCTCTTTACAGACATACTTTTTGTCCATCCATTGGTCTTCGTGGCTACAATGGACCAGTAGTATGCACGACATCACAGTGGTGTTTTCTGGAAAAAATATTATCTAAGTAAATCCAATTGTGTTTCAACAGTAATGGCACAAACACAATTTGATATACTATTTGAACCACCATGTGTGCCTCAAAATATTAAAAACAAATTAAAACAGAGCATTTATGATTCAATTATAATGGTTTAGCCTGCAAAGCAAAGAAAAACTAAGGGCCATCAATACTTTTACAAGTAGTCCATGGAAAGGTTTGACTGACAAGACTAATTACCCAGTAAGTGAGTCAATCCTTGGTACTTGAAATCCGCATCAAGTTGGATAGGTCAATGCTTCTGTTTGCTTTTTTGTTTCCAACAGTAACTAGTTTTGTACAGTCAAATGGAAGACAATTCATCCACAAACAGTTTAGATGGAACAATTTCAGGATACTCTTTGGAAACCAGCATTATGTGGTGTCCTGTCTCTACAGGAAACTTAATTCTGCAAAAACTTGTCTACCACAACACCCACTCTTTGGGCAGAAGATGAAGCAAGACTAGACAAGTAGTGTTGTCCAGTAACCTATCACTAGAAAATGGCTTACAGACACCGCATCTATATGCAAAGACAGAAAAGAAATAAGCAGACAAATATCTAAAGGAGGTGGGGATATGAAATGCCTACTTTCGGTTACTTTTAGCGTCTCTTTTTATATAGTTCCTCAGGAAACAAGGTACTCTGATCAAAAACGCTGAGGTACTTTGCTATCTCTGTATTAGAAAGTTAAGCTAGACGAATTAATGAGAAAAATGGTTAACCATTTAACTCATTTAGCTTCTTAAATTGATATGAAGCTTTCTTCTTAAAGTGCCAAAGCTTACCTTGTTACACCATGCTTGGCAGAATTCCTTCAAATGACATCTGACTTTCTACATTTTGTGAGCAGCTAGTAGCTTCTTCCACCTGAAAAGGTGGCTTGCTTAACTACATACAACTTTTCCCAAATGTCGTTTTTGCAGTAAATTCGTAAGATACCAACATTACTGTGAGATTGTTTCTATTAAAAATGAAAAACCCTTCAATGTCAGTAAAAATAAATACTACTTTTCACTCAGCAAGCATCTGAATCATGAATCACTGGATGCTGGGCGTATTCATGGGAAGCATTAATGCACACGTTCCAAATTCTCTGCCTCTTCCCACTGGCCACTGTTGGGCCAGAATTCTCAGCCTCCCCACTGTCCTCAAGAAATCCTATAAAAATTTGAGATAAAATGTCACCATTCTTACTGCTCCTATAAACTATTTAAAACTTCTGCAGCTCCCTTTTAAACACTTAGCACACAGGAGAAAGAACATTCAAAGACACTTCAATTACATGGTTTTGGTTGGGCATCCCTTCTATGGCAGATACAAAACACGGGACCAGCAATAGAAGAGAACCACAGAATCATTTGTTGGAAAAGATCTTTAAGATTGAGGGCAACAGTTAACACTGCCAAGTCCACCACTAAACCATGTCCCCAAGTGCCTATGTATCTTTTAAATACCTCCAGGGATGTTGACCCAACCACTTCCCTGGGCAGCCTGTTCCAGTGCCTGACAACTCGTCTGGTGAAGAAATTTTTCCTGATATCCCATCTAAACCTCCCTGGAGCAACTTGAGGTCATTTCCTCTTGTTCTGTCACTTGTTTACTTGGGAGAAGAGACTAACACCCACATCACCCCAACCTCCTTTCAAGTAGTTGCAGAGAACTGTAAGATGTCCTCTGAGCTGCCTACTCTCCAGACTGAACACCCCAAGTTCCCTCAGCTGTTCCTCATCAGATTTGTTCTCCAGAACCTTCATCATTTCGTTGCCCTTTTCTGGACCCGCTCCAGTCCCTCAATGTCTCTCTTGCAGTGAAGGGCTCAAAACTGAACACAGTATTCAAGACACAGCCTCACCAGTGCTGAGTACGGGGGGACAATCCTTTCCTTAGAAGTGCTGGTCATGCTGTTTCTGATACAAGCCAGGATGCTATTTGACCTTCCTGGCTACCTTAGGCACAAAAGCTGGCTCATATTCAGCCAGATGTCAACCAACACCCCAGGGTCCTTTCTCTCCGAGCAGCTTCCAGTGTTGCAAAGGGTTGTTGTGACCCAAATGCAGAACCTGGTACTGAGCCTTGTTGAACCTCATACAGTTGGTCTCAGTCCATCAGTCAAGGCTGTTCAGGTCCCTCTGGAGAGCCTCGCTACCCTCAAGCATATAAATATTCCTGCCCAACTTGGTGTCCTCTGCAGACTTTCTGAGGCTGCACTCAATCACCTCATCCAGATCACTGACAGGTATCAAACAGAACTGACCCCAATCCTGAGCCCTGGGGACCACTTGTGACCAGCTGCCAACTGCATTTAACACCGTTCACCACCACTCTTTCGGCTCGGCCATCCACCCATCTTTTTATTCAGCAAAGAGAACACCTCTGCCTGCTTACATAGCTACTGTATATGGCTTGTTTGCACATCAATACCTGTATTGATGTCACAAGCCTCTGAAAATGAGTGATGCAAGAGCATACAATTATCATAGGTATGTCAAGTCTATTACACTATAGGGGAAGACTATATTTGTTGATCCCCCACCAGCTGATGACTGTTAAGAAAAAGTATGTTTTAAAAGCAGTCTCATTTAGCATAGATGAACATTAAAACACTGCAACAAAGAGATATTTTTTCTCTCACAAACAAGACATCTTACAAAGTAAAAACTTAAAGCTATTCCAGTCTATCAGCTTTTACTGACAAGAATTGCATACCCAGAGAATATTATTCAAATTAGATTACCTAAACCAAGCCTCTGAATTACAGTCATATGAATAGCACTTACAAATAAAAATTCTAAGCAGCTTTCATTTGCTGACTGCAAAATGAAATTATGACCACCCATTCAACTCACATACAGCTTGTCTGACAATCACCTGCACCACTTTAATACACGCAAAAGCTTCCCCAACAGACTAATCTGTTACGCCTTTATTAGCTGCCCTGTATCTCTCCTTTTCATGAGGGACAAAAGACATGCGTATTTTATGCCCACGCCACAGAACATGCTATCACTGCGTTCCCTAGAGTATTCCTATTTCTCCCACTGTTCTCTTCCCAACTTCTAAATAAGTGGAATTTATTCAACTTCTCATCCTCAGCAATTCATGGATTTTCCTCCTTACCTCAGACCAGGTCTTTCATCACAGTTTCATCTAGTCCTCCCATCTTCACAGTCATGCGTTCCACTTCAAATCTTCCAAGGGCTTAATCTTTTCAACATGTAGTATCATTTCTGAAGCTGTAGAGACAGACTGCTAGATACTAATGCAGACTGTAGTACTTCCCTCCTACAGTAACTATCAGAAAGTATGCCATCTTCCACTCTCACTAGAGGGAGCCACAGGCATTACACAGGAGCAGGAAGCAGATCTAATCAGGTCTTGCCATAGTATATTCCTAACTCAGTATTTTATTTCCACAACTATAGGGCTAAATAAGCGTAAAAGACAACATTAAACAAAACTTTTAACTTTAATATTCAAATTCAACACTAGTAAGAACAAACAGAGCACAAATGGGAAACACTGTTTAAACTAAAATTAATGAAGAGACAAGCCACTAATTAGAACAGTTCTATTTTTTAGCAACATCTGTCAGCCTAGGTCCAACATCAGTACAGATTCTGATGGCCACTTCCTGTTCATTTTGGAACTTTGAATAGTTAATCTTTGTCTGTTGGCATGTCAAACTGCAGTTTCAGTAAAGTATACTATAAACACCAAACTTATGTACATAAACAGTGAAGAACAACTTGAACACTTACACTAAATAATTATTTACAAGTACTCCAACATTAAAAAAAAACAACAAAAAACCAAACATAAAATAGCCTCAAAGAATGACAAGTGAAGAGAATAAAAACACGTAAGAGAACCTTATTAGAAAGAATTACAAAACATCAATAGCCAAGACATTAACAATTGCACTACACTAATACAGAGCCCAAATATTAAATTGGTGCATTATTTCACAATGCACTAGCTTTGAGAGAAAAATGCTGCCTTCACTAAAACGCAGCTTAATTTGTTTCACGTAATTGTTTTTACAAGAAGCCTATTAACACAATAATGATTGTTTTAATGCTACAGTTTACAGCAAGGACAACAAACTAAAAATAGCAGCAGTTCCACTTGGCACTTAATTCCACAGGTTTCTAAGCTGTGGTTTATGCAATGCCTACAAAGTGCTCCCAGTTGAATATACAAATAAAATTCACAATAAAAGTTTACCTGACATCAGGTACATTGAGTGTAGGTGGCCTTAAAGCCAAAAACGTATTCCCCTCTGCTCCAAAAGTATCAGTAACTACCAAAGCAAGGCCCCCTCCCTCCCTCTTAAAGATCATTAGGGATATTACTTCTTATTACGATGCCGTAACGCTACAAAGCAGCACACCACTATAGTGGTTAACCCTGGGACAATGTAACATCTAACAGTGTAACTGAAAAGCTTATGGACTAACATCCAGGATCTTCTATGGACAAGATAGTAACAGAGTCCATTAACTCAAATGGTTAATACAGCTTATCAGCCATATTGTACAAGAACGAACCCAGAAACAATTTGTGTAAAACTAGTGACACTGACCAAAGACAGGACAAGAAACCAAGAATTGAATTCTTTCAATTCTTTGGGCTTCAGTCTGGTGGAGATGCTTAGCCATCCTCAGTAGTTCTTTTATACGTCATAGTTAGTATATAGTAAGACTAACTGAGCGGTTCATTTTCTTTCCAATGAGTCGAGATGGTCTATTTTGTGTTGTAGATCTAGTTGTCATTCTGTCAGTGAACAGTGCTCGCTCCTCAGCTGCAGCCTTTGCCATCTGTGCCTTCTTCAGCTCTCTGTAAGACATTGAGAGAGTCACACATATGCAACGGTAGCAGTAAGGACTACGGGCGTTATCACAGCAAAAGCATTTCAAATGAATTACAGCAGTTTCAGAACTTAAGATCTGCCATCAATTTAGGTCATACTAAGACCATTATCATTCACATCTACCTGTTTACAACCCAAATGACAGAGGTGGGATGTCCGTTACTCATCTAGATGTTACTTCTTTTAAACAAGGGAAGGAAATGTCAAATTCACATAACTTGGTCAGATTTCAAAACCCATCCTTTTACAAGCAGCTCAACACTTCACTTACCAGAACATGGTAGGATGCTGTTTACTTTCTAGTACAAGCATGTGATAAATCACCAAAGAGCTTGTTACTGAGGTTTGCCCAAATGAAGCATTCATTCACAACTGAATTTTTGTGGAAGATTCAGACAGAGAGACACACACTTAGATTAACAAAGAACACAACCAGCAACAACTCAGGAAGCATCCTTTTCCCTTTGCATTACCCACATCAAGGCTTATCACCAACTAAATCTTTTTTTGCCTAACAAATAAATTTGAGCCCAAACCTGCAAGGCTGAGTCACTGAAGGTATCATAGGTCATTGTCACTGGGCAATATTCTCTCAACTATTCTGTTTCAGAGAATTACCAGTATTCAGTCTGAGAAGAAAGTTACATAAAACTCAGGGGAAAACTATTAAATAGTCTGAGTAAAGAGCAAATTTATCTTGATCCACTATTTCCCCACACACTCCTTTTCTCCTTTCCCTAAATGCTAACTTATGGCCAAGTGTAATATTTCCACATAAGCTTTTCTTTCTTCTATCCCAAACTACTCCTCCTCAAAGAATTTTCTCTACCATAAGAACTAGCATTTGTAATGTCACTCGAAATCTGGATTTAAAAGCAAGATCAAATTTCACAAGTTTGCTGCACATTGGTGTAGGTGTATTTAGTTTTAAGTTACATACTTTACTTTAAAAAAATACTCCTGTTCTTGTCAGCCAAAGTATTATTCACTAACACCAATGCCCCATCTAATCCTCCCCACATTAGCACTGTGTCAGTTAACTGCAAGAGAATGCAATCAATTTTTAATTGTCTTCCCTAAAGACTAAACATCAGTCACAAACGCATATGTGCACAGCCACCCACCACACCATTACCAGGACATAAGTTTTATAATATACTTCCATTCTTTTCTAGAAGTCTGATCTTGAATTCTTCCTTCCCCTGAATAAGACAACACAGTAGAAAAGCACTTCCCTACAAGGATTCCTTTCACGGATGGTAACTTACATACCAAAGTGGTATCTTAAATGGGTCAAAATGCAAGAGGGTTAAAAAAATAAAATAAATAAATCCCAACAAGCAAAATAAAACCACCTCAACTAATTTATAGAACACTACCCTCACAATGCTAATAATTACTATGGAGAATTGTTCTTTTTAAATCATTTTTGGATTTACAGTTATAAGGATGTACCCTACTTGATGCCAGGCAAGAAACAGTCTTCACAAAATATTAACTTTGCCTATTTCCCCTTTCACATACAATACATGTTGTCTTTATAAAAGCAAGTTACCTCAACAAAACTGACCACCAATCTGCACAAACTGTCAAATTATTCTTTCTGCAGTCAGCGTAATTCAAAATAAGATTATAAATATAACCATCTGAAATGGAAAGTCTGGCTACATTCAGACTGTAGCAGTGGCAAGATAAGCAGCAAGCAACAGAGAGAATCCAAACGCAAAGCTGGTTATCTTTATTCAAAATGAACCAGTCTGTAAGTAATCTTTGTTGTATATTCCCTCATAGAAACCTGCCTGTTATGCATAACACATGCAAGGTTAACTGTAGTGAAAGATTTATATGACTTCTT